TCAATTTTGACTTAAGGAAGGCCCACACTTTTACGGATCCGGTTCTAATTTTACACAAATAAAATAAAATATAAAAAAATTATGATTTTCACTTTTCTATTGATATAAATCTTTTTGATTGATTGAGAATGATTTAGCAAGTAAATATTTGTTTATTATAGTGTTATTGTGCATATGAAGCATATAATATACATTATTTATGGAAATTAAAACTTTGCATTCTGTCCATAAGACCTATATGTCATTTAGAACTTATCCAGACACAAAATTCTTAATTGCTTTTAAAGACCTAAATCTTTTTAATTTTCTTTTAAGCAAACTAACCTGAGATCTATTTTTATTGATTAAGAGCCTATATCATCCATTTAATTTTTTATTATTTAAAAATTTTACATTGAATAATTGAAAAAATTGATATTTCAAAAATGGGGGGTTTACGTCTTCAAAAGACTGTTTTGTTAAAATTCTCTGGTCAATCATAATAAAGTAGATGTTTTTGTTAACATTAGATATAATTCTCAATAGTTTTAAAGAAAAAATGGCATCTAAACATATTGGATTTTAAGAATTATAAAAAATAAAGATATTTTGAGATTTTTTTCTGAAAGGCATGGACAGATTCAACACCGATTTGTTAATGTTTTGCAGTAAAAATTTCAAATTTTCTCCAGGTAAATGAATATTTTTGATCTTCATAAGTTTTAACATAAATTTGATGTGATTTGGTGCATAACTAAGAGAAATATGATATCACACTTTTTTATGTGCAATTTTGGCTGTTGAGTTTTTAGAGGTATGTGTGCTGAGACATGTTGTATGAAAATCAATCTGCAAAGATATGTCTTTTAAGGGTGTTTTAGTAAGTTTAAGACTTGTTCAAAGTATTCAAATTGAAAAATTATCAGTTTGACAGAAAATTCTGAAAGTACGGACCTACCTTAATATCACTTTATTAACATTAAAGCACAAAAACAATTCATTGTACAAATATTTTATTTATTACAGTCACCAATATATCCAAATATCATCACCGGCCCAGACGTCATTCACTCCTTTGAATTGTGCTGGTAGCAGTAAGGTGTCATCATTTGAGATGGTCACAGTATCCAATACACTGAAGTCACAGGACTCAAATTTCATACATGTTCACAGGTAGGTGTATAGTCTTTGAAATTACCACAATTGACTAATTCTGGGACAGGTAAGTATGTAAGTATAGGAATGAGAGCACCAAATCCCCGGATGCACACATGGCTTTGTTTGTTATGGAACATTAAACCGAATACTGAATGGGTAGGCGTTACGCCATTGGCTGAAATCAGGTATTTAATTGTTTTCATTTTAAAGTAAAATTAATGACCTTTGAAATAAATGATAGGATGAGGGAATATTACAGAAACTATAGAAATGCCAGGGAAGATTTTAGGAGTGGGGGTTGATTTTTTATGCCGCGTGTTATTTACTGCGAATCTCTATAAGTTGAAAATAACTGCAATTTTGACCTATAAACGCCATGGGACCATATATTTTTTTCAGTATTTTTTGTTAGGGCTTAGAACAAAGTTTGAAATGATGCTAAAGATTTTTCTGAAATTGTCATAGTAAAGTACTGAGAAGGCCTAAGGTTTGTATGGAGTTCTATGGGAAAATAATTAGTGGTCTTTTCCCTATACAAGATGCTGTCTGATGGCGTAGTGTAGAATGTAGCGTAGAATGTTTTCCAAGTCAGCTTAAATGCAAAGGTTTGTTTTAAAATTTATCATAATGACTTGCAAAAATTTAATGCAGTTAAATTTATTGTATTCTTGAAAAATTGACTGTAACACAATTTTTTTACACAATTACAAATAATCAAATTAATTTTTTTCCAACTTTTTTTCAGGGTCTCTGCCAAAATCTTTTGAGGATTTTTCCTCTGCTAGAGCATCCATGGATGCAATTGAAACAACCCAGGACATCCCAACACATATGGATAATCAGGCCATGGCCTACAGTATGTACAAAAGTTGCCATACTTTTAAAGCAGTAACTTGCGTGCCTCCAAATGGTGCACTTACATTTTGCTCCATGCTGTACCCAGGTTCTACTTCTGATGTAGCTATTGTACGTCACAGCCAAGTTTTACGAAAGTTCAAAGCTGGAGACCTTATTTTGGTGGTCAAAGGTTTCACCATTCATGACCAGTTGCCCCAGGGTGTCTGCTTAATTATAAAAGCTCTTTTATCGACACGAGGCCAGTTTACCATACAAGAAGCAGCACTGTGTTACAAGATTGCTAAAGCACTTATTCATGTGGAAAGAGCCAACGAGAGGATAAAGAATTACGAGATTCTCCGTTACATACCATCTACTTACAGACCAATCTCAACAAAAATATTTCAACTCTGTTCTTGTCTTGTAAACTTGCAAGCTCCACTTTTGAAAGAAATTACTTAAAGATACATGTACTTATTATAAATTTGCATTGGCGTGTGACAGTATACACTAAACAGTGAAGATATTCATACCAAAGTGCAAGGGATAAGCAAATTTTGATTTGTTATCAATGTCAATGGTTATATTTGTTAATTTTGTAGTATGTTGTAATACATGTACTTCAGAAAATGAAAATCCCTTTTGTTAGCATGGATTTATTACAAGAATGTTTGGCAATTCCATTCTTCATTTGACAATATAATTTGGAAGAGGGTTTACTTATAATTTTAAATCTCTAGTTTAAAGTATATTTACCTTTAAAGCACAACTCAACAAATTCATGTTTTCAACAATTTATCTATTAAGAAAGACAAAAATGTTACATTTTCACTTTGAGAATAACATCTTCAATTCATTAATAAAATGATTCTAAATTTTGATATTCTTTTTTTATGTAGTACATAGATTTTATTAATCATCATTGCTATTTAAAATAGTCTTATAAGCCAGAAGTTTTATGATGGATTGTGACATATCATGTCATACATTTATGAGACTTAGGAACATTCAACACATTTAACATGATTACCCATTTTCCATTGTTAGAAAATTCTAGAGGTACAAAACTAAGTGTCAAGAAGTTCAAACCAGAACTCAGTTTTCCATCAGTGCTGGAATGAAAATGTTAATGTAGAAATCTATCAGCTTTGGAACATTTGCTGTCCATTCAATGTCTTTTACTATTCTAATCACAATGCAGTCTACTCTTGTCCACACAATTAAGTCGCAGAATGTTTTGTTACATATGTGTAGCTGGCCTTGAATTTGATGATAGTATGGGTGACTGGTTTTCAGGCACAGGGTATCTTGTTTAAGATCTAAAAAAAAAATCAAAAAACACTTAAGTTGTGTTATACCAGTACATATCCCCTCCTTTTTCAATATCTTCATACCATATTGAACAGCTGCACTTGTAAATTAATACATGTTTTGAAATCATTTACTCACCAAGATTTTTAATTTCAAAGTACTGGACAATACAGATTTTTAATGTTATTTACCTATGAAAAATCCTTCAAATTTTGTGCCCCATCTGCTACTGTTGAAGACGATGCTGTATATGGACACTTCACCTCTACAATATCAGGAATGGCGTCTTTGGCTTCTGGAGTTTGATAAAATACACTGCATGTTGGTGGTCGAACAACTAAGCCATCAGGTGAAGCTCCCAACACTCCGGATTCATGCAACCATATCCTTTTCAGAAAAAATTATAATACTACTGAATGCAAACAAACCATAATACAATTGATTTTGTAATGCAAACAAAGTCTAAGTAGAGCTTTTATAATCCTTCCACTTCAAAAAGCAAATTTTCTGGAATATGTTGGTAACTGAATATTTATGCCCCGCCATGAATATGGCCGGGGCATATAGTGTTTGTCATGTCCGTCTTCCGTCCTTCTGTCCTTCCATCCCACTTTGTGTTTAGCTCTGTTCAAAGCTAAGTTTCAAAGAAACTATCCAAGATATTTTAATCAAACTTCATATGCTGATAGATATTGATGAGAGCTATGCAACTGCAACAACATTTTTTGACCTTGACCTTTCCTTTGACCTTGACCTGACTTTTCTTAAATAGTGTTTAGCTCAGTTTTAAACATACCATTCAAGATGGTGTTATCAAACTTTACATGTTGATACAAACTTGCATAGATGATGCATCTAGAGATGAACACTACCGGACTTGCTTCGGATGCTGAATCTGACCTACATTTTCCAGATGAGTGACCAAATTAAAGTTTTTGGAGCAGGTCTATTCTTAAGGAACTATAAGCCCTACTTAGACCAAACTTGCTTGGATGATGCATCTAAGGATGGACACTACCAGACTTGCTTCGGATGCTGGATCTGACCTATATTTTCCAGATGAGTGACCAGGTTGAAGTTTTTGGAGCAGATTTATTCCTAAGGAACTATCAGCCCTACTTAGACCAAACTTGCATGGATGATGCATCTAGGGATGGACACTACCAGACTTGCTTCGGATGCTGGATCTGACTTACATTTTCATTCCCAAGTAACTATAAGCCCTACCTAAACCAAACTTGCATGGATGATGCAGCTAGGGATGGACACTACCAGACTTGCTTTGGATGCTGGACCTACATTTTTATTCCCAACTAACTATAAGCCCTGCCTGAACCAAACTGATCAAATTTTATACATGTACAAATTTCATGTTGCTTTACTAATATATCCTCGGCGGGGCATTCATGTCCTATGGACATATTTCTAGTTTTTTTTTACAATTAGACTTCAGTAATTGATTTCTGTTTGTCACCAGGATAAGTCCTGTTATTTGTTTTGACACATTGAATGTTAACATGTCAGAGGTTGAATGAATGTTATTTTGTGCTGTATACCTGACTGCTCTACAGCTGCATCAAAGTCCTTTTCATACTTTCTCAAAGCATCATCTTCATGAGTGATACCCCATGCAACAGCCTTGATGGACTCCAGATTGTAAGCCAACATCAGCTGTTTCTTCAGTGACAATGTCAATCTGGAGAAGAAAATATGATTTTTGGTTATTAATCTTATATTTCCTGCATCTTTATGTACAAATATCTAGTCATTACAGTCGAACCTCATTATCTCAAACTCAATGAGACCAAGAAAAATGTTGGAAATATCCGTGGATTCAAGAATAATACATAAAGAGTTATCAAGAATAAAATGTCCCAGTCTTTTATAAATGGTTTGGACTTCAAAATTACTTTGACATATCCATGAAATATGAGATAATGGGTTTGAGATAACAAAGTTTGACTGTAATTTTAAAAGTCTTTTTCGCAAAAATTTAATCACACGTCTTACCGCCTTTGCTTAGAACTGAGAACTGCACCAAAGTTGGAAGCTGATATGCTTTATTTCCTTACAATCGACCACATTGGGTTGTTTCGTTGCCAATGCAGCTCTTTTAATGGATTCAGGGATAATGCATGCTGTAACCATACCGTGATGTTAACAGGTCTTCAATGAGAGGTACAGGTGGACCAGGTTCACATGGCTCTGGTTCAAGAATCCAATTCAATGCTGAAAAATTTCATTACTTGTGTCATTCTCAAAAATATCATCCATAATATCCATATCACATATACCAAGTATTTATATAAGAGTCCATACATTTCATTTTAGTGAACACTGTCATGGGTTTTTGTAATGTATGCATTACATATCAAATTTACAACTCACTTGCATATATTTGTTCAGAATTGTTCCTGTATATAATTTTGCACGTGGCATTCTTAGTGTGAAAATGCCATGTAAAAATTGGTGCAAATGTAAAATTAATATTTACTTAATTATTAACAAGGTTTCATAATGACAGAGTATTTAAATAATAGAAGAATGATCTGATAATTCGCAAGAATATGAAACAAAATATTTTTTTTAATGCAATTGAATAATTTATTTTTCCTTTCAAAAATGTATGCTCATGTACAAAAATGCTATCATATTTATAATATTGTCTTTCCAATTATTCAAAGGTTGTTATTAATATTTATTACATAGTATGTTCAAAAATTGGGCAATATACATAGCCAACTATATTATACTCCTCATCTTTGTACATTTGTTCACAATTAAAATTAACAATCGGTCAGTAACAAAATAACAGTTTCATAATACTCGTAATATAAAAATCAAATCAAACTTAAATAACAACAATAGTAACACCAAAATCATAACTTCCTTCTTATATTTTACCAATAAACCTTTCAAGGTGCAAAAAACACTGGTCACTTTCATGAAAGGGTCAGTTTAAAGCACTTCAAATATGAAGCAAATTTTTTAACAACTGATTTATTTATATTTAATGATTGATCATTTAAAAAAAAAAAAAAAAAACAAGAGGCCCATGGGCCACATCGCTCACCTGAGCACTGTGGCTAGGAAAAAGTAAAAATTGGTTTTTTATTGAAAAGTTTAAATCCAAAAGTAGTCCCTTGACCAATCATGGCTTTGCTTTTCTTGAGAAGGTTATTTTTAAAGAATTTTCCTATATATTTCTATATAAAATTTGATCATCCTTTGTGGCCCAGTCCTACCCCCGGGGGACATGATTTGAACAAACTTGAATCTACACTACCTAAGGATGCTTCCATATAAATATGATCAATCAGGGTTTTGCTGTTCTTGAGAAGAAGATTTTTAAAGATTTTTCCTTTATATTTCTATGTAAAACTTTAATCGTCCATTGTGGCCCCGCCCTACAAACTGGGGTCATGAATTGAACAAACTTGAATCAACACTACCTGAGGATGCTTCCATATAGATATGATCAATTATGGCTTTGTCATTCTTGAGAAGAAGATTTTTAAAGAATTTTCTTATATATTTTTATGTTAAACTTTGGTCAGCCATTATGGCTCCGCCCTACCCCCGGGGGTCATGATTTGAACAAATTTAAATCTACACTACCTGAGGATGTTTCTCCATAAGTTTCATTTTTCCTGGCACAGTGGTTCTTGAGAACAAGATTTTTAAAACATACCATCAAATTTTCATTAATTCCCAATTATCTCCCCTTGAATGAGGGTGTGGCCCTTTATTTGAACAAACTTGAATCCCCTTCACCCAAGGATGCTTTGTGGCAAGTTTGGTTGAAATTGGTCCATGGGTTCTAGAGAAGAAGTCGAAAATATGAAAAGTTTACAGACAGACAGATGGACAGACAGACAGACAAACAGCTAGATAGACAAAATGTGATCAGAAAAGAGCTAGAAATGAAACATTCCTCACCACAAAAGCCAGAAGAATATAGGGACCACCACCAGTAACATGTTTCTGGGAAGAACCAAACCATGCAGAGATAAATATCAATAGTCCTGAATCTTCGATGCAGGACCAAGTACGAGAATTGCTACAAACACTACTCCGGAGACTTACCTATTATCCTATGATGTAACGTACATTGTCCACTGCAGCTGGTTCCCTCATAAGCTGGTAGCGAGGACAGTTCAGGATGTCCTGTCAACTTTATTCCTCAACTTCCTGTCTTGGACTGAAAAGCAATAAGTGGAAATCTTTAGTGTTGCCTAGTGACTTTGAATTAAAAAGAAAGTTGCAAGATTGTGAAGGGGGGGGGGGGGGTACTGATGCTGTGCATTTTAATTAAATGTACAAAATCTGTATTTCACAGTTTAATGCATTCATGTATTTTGTGAATTGTCTTAGGATTCATGTAATAATTGTTGCTATGTATTATTAAGCACTAAATCTATTCAACTGCATGTGTAAATGGGGAAAATGTGGATATGTAAATGATGTATAATTGCAATGTGTAAAATGTGACATTTTCTTATATGAGGGAGTCTGTTCATGTAATTTTTTTTCATTAATTATTTTATTTATCTTGATAAAATTATTTCAATTAACAATATTGTTTTTCTTACCAGTCTGATGAACTCAACAAAGGTTACAGAGGTGAATGGTAGAAATATGGGTATTACAGGTGTCAAAACTCTTCGTTGATGACCAGACTGCATGCCGCACTGTAAAATCACCATTTTGGATCTTTAAAAGGGGAGGCTACTCCCGAAATCAAAGAAATTGTCATAAAAATGAGTAACCAGATTTTCTTTAGGTCTCACACAAGGAAATAATTTCACTATATGTTACTATATAGCTTTAATTAAATAAATTAATTAACTAGACTCTCAGCAGATAATTCATGAATGAGAAAAAAGATTAATGCTTAGACAAAATTTGAGATCAGAAAAAATATACCCCTTATGCGGCTTTTAAGAAAGAAAATTGAGACTAAACATACCTATACCCCGAAATACACATGGGCAAACAGCCAACACACCATCGAGGAAGTTACATCGATCATGCGTACCTAAAAAAAAAGAGTTCCCTTTGATTCAGTGGCACAATTCTGCTGATATGATATTCCTAGTGCATGAGTCCAAAATTAAAACTGTAGACCTACGTAAAGTTCCTGAAAATGAAAAAAGAAAAGAAATATTATTGTCTCTATATACATCATACATAGAACTACATTTGTTCATTTTAATTAGCTATCTCCTTGCATAAGACCTCTAAGGGTAATTTTATGCTATTTACCATGTGCACTGATTGCCATAAAACTAAAGAAAAAATACCAGCCTTACAAAGTCACTTAACCATGACCTTTGACATACCTTACTAAGAATACCCTGGACAATTTGGTTTAACTTAAGACTTCTGAATTTTTAAATGCAGGTTTTGATAAATTAACCATTTAATATACTTATGAGCTCATAAAACTGTTCTTTAAAACTGTATGATAAAGAGTGTAAAAACTTTGAAACATGTTTGGAAAGTATTATCACACATGTGATATGGGATAAATTATCACCACAGAAAGATCAAAGAAAATCACTGCAGATATGCGACAATAATTCTTATCATTGTTTATTGTATGTCAAGTCTAGAATATGATATATCATTACAAATATTATGATTTTTAGCTGGGCACATTGCTCGTAATTCAACGTGTGCAAAAGGTTTTCACCAGGTATCCCTGTCTGCATCATATTCTATAAACAATATAATTAAAATTAGATGTTAGATCCGCTCGCATACTCGCCACACTAACATCTAACAAGTCATCCCATTGAGGGTCACGTAAGAGGTTAAATTCGGAACGCCTCAAGATTTATTCGCTTCAACAATATATGATGATTTTGCCAGCTGCGATTTGATTAATTGATAGAATTTGACCTCTGACGTGACCCTCAACAGGATGTTGTTAGATGTTAGTGTAGCGAGTATGCAAGCGGATCTAACATCTAATTTGAATTAGATTGATTCTATAAATAAAGGTTGTACTATCAGGCTAACACAAATGCAGGGAACATCATTAATGACTTGATGCAAATCTCCCCACTGAGAACACATCAGTGCAGAGACGTTTGACCTTAATCTTGCTGCATTGGTGTTTATTTACTTCTGTTTGTATATAAAACCGGATTACCCCGAAACGATATGTGATAAATATTTTTCGCTGTTAATTTCTAGCTATATTTTATTTTATTTTTAAAACTATTTAATATTATACATGCCATTGAGATATTTTTGTGTGTATTACATATTCTCTAAACGTCTGAACGTGATTTTAAACTGTCACCACAGTCCTTGTTCATTATCCTGTAAATGAGCCCGGCTCAATACATTTACTATAAAAATAATTGGACTCTATCATTCAGTCAAATGCTGAAGGACGTTTTTCGTACTAATTGTTAGGCTAATATTCACATACTGAATTGGCTACGGATTTTCCTGTTTTTCATCCGATCATGACAAGGAGCACATGACGGGTGTTACCGGTCGGCAGGGGATACTCACTCTCCCATGGCTACTCATACCACCTCTTTTGTTTTGGGGCTCTGCATTTTCTTTGCTTTTCATTTATATTGTTTGAATGGAATTTTGAGCTTGAATCCTGTTTGTTATTTCTTTATTTTTCACGTATTGTTTTTTTTTTCATAACATTTGGTATTTTTGTGACGAGTTAAAATAGGGACTTGGTAGAGTATTTACTGGACCCTGAAATGTTTCCTTGTTTACGACGATTTTAATGAAATTAAACAAATTCCTTTTGACACGAATGTGAAAAAGTATGAATACAGAAACATTATTTTTAGAATTTCATCCTCAGAAATTAATGAGTATGTTAGATTTCTAGATGGTATTAAAACCAAGTTCTTCTAAAACATTTAAATATATCCCTTTTATACTGGTGGAACCATAAAAGATACCTTTTAAATTCTGACACATCTGTTTCTTATGTAGATATTTAACAGGAAAAAGACGTTAATGATATTAATCTTTCAACCGACCAAGCTTTATGATATGTGTGTCGATGACTAACTTTTCACACTATTGTCATGTACTTCTCTTAATTATGCAGTAATATACATTCATCACCTGCATACGGGGTTTATATCTTTCAGTTGATTCGATACACAAGAGTACACGGGTAACGGCGGATGTAACCGGTCGGCAAAGAATAATGGCACCTGAACCCACCTTATGATGTTTTGGAAGTTCGTGCTACCTCGAACTGCTCTAATTTAGTATTGTTGAATGGATTTTTGAGCTTGAATACTGTTCTTTGTATCCATGTATTTCATGACGAAAATTCTTGTGTAGTCATGTATTGTTAAAACAAAGAACAACAATTACAAAAAAATTATTTAATTTTTTTTGATATAAGAAAAATCCAAAATATAGTTGTAAATCTTATCAGCAGATAGCACAGTTAACATTTTAGTTTCATTTAATTTCTAATTATACCCCACGATTTGAATTTGAAACAAAAAATTATGGTTCATGAGAAAGGGTAGAATTATGCTCTAATTGTCTATAGCACAAATGAATTAAATCCTCCTTTCTGTTCCTAAACATAAAACAGACAAACCAAGTACATACTTGTTATGAGCAAGAGAGTTTAAACCAGATTTGAGTAATTTACAGTCGCTCGTTTATGGACTTTGATACACTGGAAATGTCCCAACTGAACATGTACGGAAGGCGCTACTCTATTATAAGAGACGTTATTCCCTTTTGATTATTCAGTCATGATAAGAAATTACTATTGATAATGTAATAGTGACAGTAAATGATATGCATCTTAATTAAAGAATAATGCAAAATTATTAATGTTTAATATAAATAAATACTTTTATAGTTGCTGGCCAAGATAACTTTAAGTTATGAATTGATGCATGTTAGACAAAATACTGAATGTTACATTTTGTACCATAAATATCAAAATCACTGAAAGAGCAGGAAAGGTTGAAAGAAGAGGTTTGTGCTGGGTTTGTGCTGACGACACTAGTTTAGTGCTTAATCTTAACACTGATTTAATGGTTAATAATAGTGACAAATGGAGGTATAGGTATCATTGCAATATACAGACGAGTACATAAATCCACTTTCAAAGAAATTATGGCCTTTGCACCTTTGATTTTTTAAATGGAAACAGGTTTTGATTCAAAAGATTGAACAGGTTGGACATTGTGTTGCTTAAAACCTCCAAAACTCCCTAAGCATTTACATAATTTGTATTTCATGAGTTCATTCAAAGAAATCCAAGATGCAAAATGACGTTTTTGTGATTTGCCATCATGGGTTTTGAAATAATTCAAGATTATTGAATTGTAACATCAACTTTTATAATCACTGTCAGACCAAACTTTTTGTCCAGTTGCATGGTTGGTATGCTTTGGAGCACGTCGCCTCAAAAAGGAAGATCGTGTCTGTGAATGCTGAATTACCTTGTAATGCCAAGAAAATATACATCTTGCTGCATTTGAGTAATAAAAATGCATTTCCAGATTCAAAATTAATATTTCTTTGTTCTCCCAAAGCGCCCTTTCATACAAGATAATAAATGAAACACCTCTTATAATAAATCTGTTTATTTTTTATGGTGGTAGTGCTAATTTTACAAGTGCTTAAAAAGCAATTTTGATAATAGAAAACAAAAGTACATTTTCCTTGATCAAAATTCATAGCTTGTTATGATTAACAGCAAATTATTTTCAAAGAAATTAAGCTAATAATCGATTCTTCAAGAAAAACGCGCGCACACACACAAACACCGTCCCTCACTCTGTCTGTCTGTCTGTCTGTCTGTCTCTCTCTCTCATTACATATATAATGAAACGAATGATATAAAGTTTCGATAAGTATAAAGGAGGAACTTATTAAAATCATTGTTTCATTTTTACGTCTTTAAAATTCTCATCTTGCGCTTTCAAGTGAATTTTCCAAGGAGGAGATAGCAGACGATGTTTCTTCGGTGTTTCTAAGTAAAGCTTCAAGCATGTTAGTTGTTGACGTCACTGGAGAAATACAGACACCATCTTTCATTGGCTCTAGATGTTGATCTGGAATTGAAGATTCGGTCAAATTTGGATCAATCTGAACTACAGTGATATTCGAAGCGGCTTGATTTTCCAAAAGATCTAGGAAAAGGTTGTTTTTCTCTAGACTACATTCAGAATTGTCATTGTCAAAAATTGATGGATTGTGAACTAATTCCATAGCATCTAATTGTTGTTCTGATATGTATCTTTCGTCTTTGGCTCCAGCGGACATTTCTGCTCGCGATATGTCATCTTGTAATTTGATCTGATTTTTGACTTTTTCATGACTGTCCTGGGCTCCACAGGGAGTATGCAAATCTTGTCTTTCTTTGAAATTTAACAGTTTTATTTTGCATTTATCAAAGCTTTCCTTGCTTAACTTTTTCATGATACGTTCTTTCAAATCAGATTTCGTTGTCACATGCTTGGTATTTTTGTCACTTGCCAACATTTTGGGCTTTGCCTTTTCCTTGAAAAGTAAATCTTCTGTGCGAGGATCTGTATTGAAATTTTGTGATACTTTTGACATCATCAAATTTTCTACCATCGCATCAATTTCACTCAATCTCCTTTTCGGTCTCTTCTTTTTCTTTACTTGCATGCAGCCTAGTTGTTCTGTCAATCCATGTAACTTCATTTTCAATTCAAGTTGCTAAAACAAGAAGTTCATATGCTTAAATACTATAAATTCGCTTTAAACAACTTTTGAAGAACATCACATTACGTGTCTTCTATCGCATAAATCAATAGTTTGAGCAGATATTGAGTTTTTAAAATTTTTGTTTCAAGAGTTATGTAGGTAAAAAAAATCATTTCCTACATTTTAATAAGTTATAAAATAAAATGTCGCATATGTTTATATCCGATTCTTGCAAAAATGGCCTAAATACATGTATTAATTAGCTTACATATCTTTAAGTTATATATAAAATTAATAAGAAAATATATTGAAAAAGGGTCTTACAAAAATTCTTATCAGCATTTTCTGGTATTTTTTCTCCATTGCCTTCTGGTTTGCTTCATATTGATAGAGTTTTTCTCTGTCTTTTTTCAAAATCTTAACATACTCCACAGATGCTTTTAAAATGGAACCCTTATTGAGTTTCATTGACCTGATACAAAAAAAAATATTTACAATGTATGGTAAATATTCACAATTTATAATAAATATTCAAGTTTTCTGAATAAATAAACAAATTGATATTGCCAAATGTGTACGAAACTATAGCCGATTCAAAATAATGACAGAAATTCTGAAGGATATGCACACATTTGTATCTTTTATATTGGTTTAAAGTGTAATCCTCGACAAAATATTGCTGATAAATACAAAAAAATGTTATTACGAATGAGTGGAAGAGGGCAGTAAAGTAGCAAGTTCTTTAATCCTGTCGTTGATATTGTATCTGCGTCTTCGCTCAACTAAAAAATTAAAATATTTCTCAAGAAAATCTTAATACAATATATACAATTTAAAAGATTGTTTGTACTCTCTATTTTGAATATTGAAGTATTACGTGTATAATTTATTGAAATTGAAGTTTTACTTTTATTTTATGCTACATGTATTTATTTTACT